TCTTAGGGCATACACTAACAAAAGGTGATGTGGTCGTCAAAGTTAGTTGTGCCGTCATAGAGTTTCATGTTGGGGAATGAGAACTTCTTGGGCATCTCCAAGAGGGCTATTGAGTCAACAAAGGGTAAATCAATGTAGCTTTGAGGCAGAATCTTCTTAATAGGGGTTGGCATTACAGGAATACATTGGATCATCGCTTCCATCACGATTAGTCTTTTGGCCAATGCTTGTTCTAGGGGAGTTCCGATGGAGGTGAATAGGCTGGCACTTGTAGTTGTTTGTAGTATGGGAGTACCATTCGACATTGCATGCAGGGTTGTGTCGAGTGGATCCGACTGGTGGAAGGGTCTAGCTGTTGATTGCAATAGGGGGTGTATTTATGGGAGTTTGAATGTTGAAGCTGTCTGGTATGGTTGGAGCAGAGTCAATTGGATGAGTGATTTTGGGCTCGTATGAGGGTGGAGAGGTTGAGTTGACACAACTAGGTCTGTGATGGGGTTTGCTGGAGTTAAACCATTATTGATGGTCGACTAAAGGAGGATTGGTTTGTAGGTGTTACAAGTGATTGCATCAGATCAACCGAGACACGAAACCTAGCGTCGTGATGTTAACTCGGTGTGAAGTTAAAGGAGTAGAATTGGTTTATATTTTCTTGGAGGGTTTGGTTTTCCACTCGGATGGCAGCGTTCTTAACTTCCAATGCTTTTTATCTGTCAGTGTTCTCTAGCACTTGTGAGATGAGAATGGAAATCTGAGCACAATGTCGGGTGAAGGGGTTTAAGTGTTTCCAGTCATGATGAGGGTCATCTATGTAGAGCAGGTCTTTATTGGCCGAATGATTATCAAGGCCCCACGGTGGGCACCAAACTATAGATGGTTAAATCTACGGTTGAGTTGAACGAGGATCATCCAGTGAAGACGAGGCCATTGACAATCTTGTAGTAGACCTACAGGGACAAAGAAGAGTAAACGTGAAGGCTCGGGGGACATCGATGTAGTGTCGGCCGTAGGCACTTCGACGCTTAAGTCAACATAGTTGAGGGGAATTTAGCCTAGTTAGTAAATACGGGTACGGCAAAAAAACGGTACGGGAATTTTACGGGTATAATATGGCAAATGGTGAAAAATACGTTTGTAAAAATTTGGTCATAAAATTCGGATACGGAAAAAATACGATTCGGATATATACGGGTTTAATACGACACATTGTCAATAATACGTTTTGAAAAATACGGCAATAGTAATCTTGGTTTTAGCACTTTTTTAAACATCCCAATTTAAATAATCCATTGTGGTCGACCCTACAATTTATTTTCCTTTTTATTTAAAGTATATTTGAACAATAACTAAGACTAGTATTTTTATCCGTAATTTTATAGCTACGCAACCAAAATTTGGATTCCAATTAGTATAGTTGTTTTATTTTCTGAATTTTATGTTCTGAATTTAATTGGATAGTGCATTCAAAGGTCAAATAATAATAGTGTTATGAAATCTAAAAACATGACAGAGTGCACATGGGTTTACAATTTGCAGTTGGCGTTGGTTGCAAGTTGATGGTTTGTTGTTTTTTTCTTCTTCTTTAAGTATCTGCCAATTCCAAATCCAAGCCCGACAATATTATTTTTATGAATTCATGCTTTTCTTTTGCAGTTTTGCCATTACCTTTTGCTTTCATAGATGATCTTTAGTCCTTTCATTTTGACCCATACAACACAAAACAACAGAAAATGAAATATTATGTTAAAGCTTGGAGAAGAGAGTTAAAAAGAGAAGAGAACAAGAGATCAAGACTCAAAGAGTCAAGAGATGAAGAAAAAAGAGTTGAATTGTTGAAGATTTGAAGAAGAGATGAAGACTGTGGAAGAGAGAACCGAGGAAGAGGAAGGAGATTTTCTTTAATTTTAGTCAAACCCAACCAAAACGACGTCGTTTTGCCTTAACATTTAATTATTTTTTTGTCTGCAAAAATTCGGCAAAAATTCGGCAAAAATTCGCGTATAATTCGCGAATTATACGGATAGGGTATATAATTCGCGAATTATACGGCAGCCCTAATAAAATACGTGAATTCGCGTTTTATACGGGAATTATACGGCTAGCCGTATAATTCGCGTATAAAACGCGAATTTACTAACTAGGGAATTTAGTAACGCTGAGAGTAGGAAAGGGTTTACCCGGAGTGTTTGGCTAGGGCGCGACTTATCGGCGTAGAGTGGTCGGGGCACGACTTTACAACGATCACAGAAGTAGAGTTAGTCAGAACTAGGCTCTACAGCGGGGAAAGGTGTTGGTTATTGGGAGCAAGAACTTAGTGAACTAGAGAGAGGGGCTGTGATTGAATTAATAATGAGAGGGATGACCTCTGTTTATATAGTGAGCTAAGGAAGCTTGGGTCATTGTAGAACTAAGCGTTCTTGTAATAGGAGTTTGAGTAAACAGGAAACTCGTAATACTAATCCATGAAGGATCAGTTGCACTAGTTCATGTAAGATTATGAATCTTGGATGGACTAGGAAGTGCGTGGGACTTAGAGTCCTATTCTGGAATGAATACAAGATGATGGGCTGGAGTCTGGTTTAGCTTCAACTTGTAGAAATGCCCAACTTGTGGAGTGGCCCAAGGTGCAGGTTGGCCCAGTTCATAGGGTGGCCTTGATCGTAGAGTGATCCAACTTGTAGAGTAGCCCAGCTTGTGGATAGGGCTGACTCGTGGTGTGGACTCACTTGCAGAATGGGTCGACCTATGGAATGAATCTTCTTACAAAATGGGTTATCCCATAGGATGATTTTTCAATAAGATGGATTTAAGTGTGGGCCCAACCAAAATTGGGCTATGACACTGGGTCATGTAGTGTTTATTTCGTTATTGGGCTTGACAAAGTCTAGTACGATTTTTTACCCATACATATTTTGTTTGGAACTAGCCCCATACCAACAAGCATATCAGCATATGAGACTGCTTTTATTTCCATGAACCAAGCAATTAGTATGAACAACAAAAAATACAGTAATAAAATACTGCACAATTTTGAATTCTGTATTCATTTTTTTTTTTATTAATTAAACAACTTTGACTCTTGTATTCAATTTTTATTTATTTATTTTTTTTATTTTATATTATTGTAAAGCTATACGGACACAAACAATAGACAAATAGAAAATTTTAATGTAAATGCTTTGTAATCTTTAAGTAAACCATATTATTAGTCTCTTATGGTAAATACATATCGTGATGTTTTGAAATAAGCTACGTTAATGGTTGCTAGATTTTAATTTACTCTAATCTCATATAATTAGTAAGCCATGTTATCGACAATTAAACGAAAACATAATGGTAGGAGAAAGATTAAATGGGTCGTCTCTTGGCCAACTTTTGCCATCTTCTTTGCTTTTGTTTTCTATTTTTCTCTTTTGTTAGTGGAGCCAGAGAACTGGCAGATGATCGCCAACATGCGGGGGAAATGAAGCCACTCATGCCTGCATCCAAGAGCTCTCCTTTTACTAGTAAATGTTAATTTTTCTTTCTTATAAGCAAAAATACAATACGTATATGCATGTCAGTCCAATATAAAGCTAATTCTGACAGTTACAATTCTTTTTTCAGGGCCCCGCTCACCACTTGCTCTCTCTTCTTGTTCTCCAATATTAGTGATTTATTTGAAGGGGCTGACCTTTCTCTGAAGAAGAATCCAATTGGGGCCGACAATTACGTATAAAGTGGTTAATGCGTCTTGAGAACTGATGAGAAAAATATTATTTCGTTAAAAAGGTCTGATAATAGAAAATTATTTCCATTAACTAATTAATATAATGGTAGGAGACTTAATTGGTTCAAATTAATTCATTCGATCGCCTTTAATACCACCATGATTTCACCAAAAAAAAAAAGAACATGTGTAAAATTAAAGAATGAGATCCAGATTCATGATCACGAGGAACAAAGGTAACAAATTAAATAGCTAATTCATTACATAAAAAGGAACTTCATTTACTGATATATAGAAAAATAAGGAGTGGTGTTATATCCTATATGTACAAAATAAATATACAAATTAATGTTTGCAAACTGATGTAGCACCATGTCGTTCATCTATATTTATAAAGTATTTAATGAGATAACTCTTTTATAATATTCATCCATTCTCCTCAGATACATTAATTTGTATGAAAGATCAGTTTGAACCTTTAGTATTATTCTAAAATAAAGATGTCTAATTAACTACTTATAGAAAGATTGACAGTTAGCTTAAGATTCTTAAATATATTATTTAAAAGATTCTGAGTTAGAATTCTAAAAATAAAAAAAAAGAAAAAAAAATAGAAAAATAATAAAACAATAAAATTAAGAACAAAAGAAAAAAAAAAAAAAAAAAAAAAAAAAAAAAAGGAAACATAAAAATAAAAAAAAAAAAAAATAGGTCTAAATGCTATAAAAATAGGTCCAAGGGAGACGTCATCTCAGAAAAGTCTATAGCCCAAATGTTACTCCAGGCATATAAAACTAGAAACATAAGCCACTAGTTGTTCCGAAGTCTGAATTTTCTCGAAAAGAATCAGTCGTAGGAGTTAGATAGCAATTTGGATTTGGAATATATTTGTAGCAAACCAAACTAAACTCCCTGTGGACTAAGGAGACTGGCAGAGTGAGACTCAGTCAAGGTCTTTGGCCTTTAGTTCAACTACAAATTTTCACTCGGTATTTTTATGGCCTCACACGGAAAAGTTACACATATATCTCTCCTTCTATTTCTATATATATGAACAATGCTTTTTCACTAAACTAGAATCAGATATACATTAGAAAATGGGAGATTTACTTCGTTTCTTGCCCAGCTTTTGCCATCTTCTTTGCTTTTGTATTCTTTTTGTCTCTTTTGTTTATGGAGCCAGAGAACTGGCTGATGATCTTTCTACTTATAAAGGTTAATGTGCTTTTTTATAATACAATGCAATGACTACCTGATATGCATACATGACTTGTGGTCGTAATATATACCACCGTAGTATCATAAACTTTCTTCAATATAAGATAAACTAATTCTGCGTTTACAATTATTTTCAGGTGCTCGCGCTCTCCTTTCGTCTGGACAAGGGATTAAACTTCCTCTGAAGAAGAGCCGTCAAGATTACGTTGTCACAGTTGGGTTTGGCACACCTAAACTTGATTTATCCTTAATGTTCGACTCTGGCAGTCCTACTACTTGGATCAAATGCAAACCATGCATTACTTGTAACCAAAATGAACCCATTTTTGATCCTTTCCAATCTTCAACATTTTCCAGTTGTATTTCTGGTAATTGCACAGTCAATCAATCCTACCACGACAAGTCTTATTCCACTGGAATTACTGTACACGATACCTTAACCTTATCTAATGGGGTGTCTTTTCCTAACTTTGAGTTCCTTTGTAGCCATAATAACAGTGGATTCCAAGGATTTGCGGGGTTGCTTGGCCTCGAGTTAAGTGAGAATTCCTTCATAAATCAAACAACCGAAACTTTTTCCCAGATATTTGGTTACTGTCTCCCATCCTTAGAATCCTCCACTGGGTTTCTTGCTTTTGGAGATGAAGCAGTTGCAGCTTGCAGTCCTCAATTTCGTGTTCCACTTGTAGCAGGTCCAAATGGGTACGATAAGTACTATGTCGACCTTGTTGCAATAACAATTGGCGAAAAGAGACTGCAAATGCCTTCAAATGATGATTCATCATCGTCATCGAAAGTCATATTAGACTCAGGAACTCCCATCAGTCACTTGCCTCAATCAGTTTATTCAGAACTTAGCTCTTCATTTCAGGAGTTGATGTCAGAATATGGTCCCTTTTACTCATCTGGGAGTATGACGTGCTTTAATCTTGAGGGGCACGATTTAAGCACTATCAATATACCAACTATCACACTACAGTTTGGTGATTCCTTGGACTTAATGTTGCCCTCTACTTCTGTTGTTTTAATTGAGAATTCTAATGCCTGCTTGGCATTTATTGGAGATGATGAAACAATTATCGGTACTCATCAGCAACGGGATTTGAATATACTCTACGATATATCAAATAAACAAGTGGGATTTTCTCTTTCTAAGGGTAGTTGCAGCTATTAATTAATGTCAGTGACTCAGTGATTCATGTAACGAATAAATGAATAGAAACATCTAAGAATCAATCGAGATGTTTTAGTAATAATTAAGCATTTAATTATGCACTCGAAACAATTGATAAGTAGAATGTACTCTTCTTTCGCTATCTTCTATGTTTATCTTCCTCTGTAACAGTAATCCGTTGAAGAATTCTTTCTTCAATTTTATTGTTCCTACTCACTTCCTTGTTTATCTGTGTATGTAGGGTTATTTTTTTGTTGAATTGTTGGTTTTATGCCAAAATTAGAGGAACTTCCTCGTTATAGGAACCCAAAAGGCCTGCAGCCCATCAGGGGATTGATCCATGTTTCCCTTCAGTTTCTCTATTAATATTTAAATTCATAAATACACCCATCACGTATACCGTGATCCACGAGTCTCGATTAAATTTCTTTCGTCACTCTTTTTTTTTTAGTATAAACTCAGAAGAGTTCACCTTCACTGCATTTGTTATGCCTGAGAAAGTAGGGTTGACGCAAAAACCCAGTCAGCATAAAAAGTTAGAGCTTAGGTAGGTCAGCAGCCAATCAGAGGCAGCCACGTCACACAATGACAGGGACGGCATGCTCCTGTCAAGGCAGTGGGTGCGCGTCAGACCAGCCAGGAGATAGAGTGATTCCACGTGTCTGATCTCTACACCAAATCGCGTAAATCGCTTTAGAAGGTGGGTAATGGGACATAAAGAAGGATTTGTCCGGATAATCCTACCAACTCACAGATTTAGTACTTGACCCAGCCTACTATAAATTGGGAGCTCCTCTCTCATTTGGGGGATTAGCTAATCTCTCTAAAGAAAAATATCATTCTCTCTCTCGTGTAATCATTTGTAAGTCAGTCCGCTGAACGCGACCTAACCATTATTATTAATACAAAATCAGTGGGCGTAGGATTCGTTTCTTTGAGCATTCGAACCACTTTAAACGTTGTTCTCTATTGCTTTTACTCTCACTCTCTCATCCACATGTGTCTTTTAGGCTAGCTCAGCATTTCACACGTACGTTTGGTTGGTGTCAAAATCACGTATCAACAACATTCAACTTAATAGAAGAAATCAAATGAGTGTGTTCAATGAATTGTCTCAGCAAAAGAAAGAATATATATATTAGCTTACAAATAGAACTAGTTATATATCAATGATTAGTCAAATTTCATTTGTTTTACAATTAATCTTTCCAAGACATTAAACCAACAAAAACCCTTATAAAATCAAAGCATCGAAAGTCACTTAATTCAATATAAAATTATTCCTATTTTAACTTAATACAGTATATAGTAAAAGGGGCTTAATTGGTTCAAATGAATTCTTTATAGTTTATGCTACCTGTANTTTTTTTTTAGTATAAACTCAGAAGAGTTCACCTTCACTGCATTTGTTATGCCTGAGAAAGTAGGGTTGACGCAAAAACCCAGTCAGCATAAAAAGTTAGAGCTTAGGTAGGTCAGCAGCCAATCAGAGGCAGCCACGTCACACAATGACAGGGACGGCATGCTCCTGTCAAGGCAGTGGGTGCGCGTCAGACCAGCCAGGAGATAGAGTGATTCCACGTGTCTGATCTCTACACCAAATCGCGTAAATCGCTTTAGAAGGTGGGTAATGGGACATAAAGAAGGATTTGTCCGGATAATCCTACCAACTCACAGATTTAGTACTTGACCCAGCCTACTATAAATTGGGAGCTCCTCTCTCATTTGGGGGATTAGCTAATCTCTCTAAAGAAAAATATCATTCTCTCTCTCGTGTAATCATTTGTAAGTCAGTCCGCTGAACGCGACCTAACCATTATTATTAATACAAAATCAGTGGGCGTAGGATTCGTTTCTTTGAGCATTCGAACCACTTTAAACGTTGTTCTCTATTGCTTTTACTCTCACTCTCTCATCCACATGTGTCTTTTAGGCTAGCTCAGCATTTCACACGTACGTTTGGTTGGTGTCAAAATCACGTATCAACAACATTCAACTTAATAGAAGAAATCAAATGAGTGTGTTCAATGAATTGTCTCAGCAAAAGAAAGAATATATATATTAGCTTACAAATAGAACTAGTTATATATCAATGATTAGTCAAATTTCATTTGTTTTACAATTAATCTTTCCAAGACATTAAACCAACAAAAACCCTTATAAAATCAAAGCATCGAAAGTCACTTAATTCAATATAAAATTATTCCTATTTTAACTTAATACAGTATATAGTAAAAGGGGCTTAATTGGTTCAAATGAATTCTTTATAGTTTATGCTACCTATAGATGCAAAAAATCTACTGTCATGAAAATAGGGTCTGATCCTATGAGGTTGAGACCACTGACAATTCGCTAGACTAGGAGTCTTGTCAAAAGCTAGGACTACGGCGAAGGCGTCGGGTTCTTGGGAGGAAGAACTTTATGAGCAAATAGATGATTTTGAGTAGTGTAGATTGACTATGGGAGATTGCCTCCCTAATGAGAGGGCAAGCCTCTGTTTTTATAGTGAACCAAGGGGTTAGAATCCTAGTAGGACATTGAGTCCTCTATTTTGGGAGATAATCTCTATCAAGAAAGAAATATGATTTCTTCACCTTGTCAGATTAAGTTTAATAGTTTAAATAAGATTTGGAATCTTAGTAGGACACTAAGTCCTATTTTGGGAGATAATCCCTATCATGAAAGAGATATGATTTCTTGACCTTATCAGATTAAGTTTAATAGTTTAAATAAGATTTGGAATCTTAGTAGGACACTAAGTCCTATTTTGAGAGATAATCCCTATTATGAAAGAGATATGATTTCTTGACCTTATCAGATCAAGTTTAATAGTTTGAGTAAGATTTGAAATCTTAGTAAAAGAGGAAATAAAATGGGATTCTGATTTCCTATTTATAGACTGTTGCAGTCTAATAGGCTGAAACCCAGTTTAACTTAACTTATAGGATAGCCCAACTCATAGAGTGGGTAGGTCGCAAGGTGATTTTAAGCGTAGGCCTAATCGGGATTGGGTTGAGGCCTTGGGCCGTGACATGTTTATTTCGTTATTGGGTCTCGTCAAGCCCAAGACAATTTTTGGCCCTAACAGTTAGTCCCCCACTCTCTAAGTTAAAGAGTATTTAGCTTAGAGAGTAGATTTAATCGAATGAGTGCAGACTGAGCAGATTAGTGATAACAGCTCGTTAGGTCGGATGGATCGTTGTGTGGATTGGGTCGATGACTTTTCGGTTTGAGGTGTAAGAACCCTTCTACTAGTTTGGCCGACTGAATGTGTAGCTTTATGGACCAGGCAGGGCTAATCAAAGGTGTAAATCCATGGATTGAGTAGGGTCGATCCGAAGGTGTAAATCTGTGGATCGACAGGGCTGATCCGATGGTGTAAATCCATGGATCGAGCAGGGTCGATCCGAAGGTGTAAACCGTGGATCGGGCAAGGCCGATTCAAAGGTGTAGATCCGTGGATTGAGTAAGGTCAATCCGAAGGTGTAAATCTGTGGATTGAGTAGGGTCGATCCGAAGGTGTAGATTTGTGGATCGGGCCGGGCAGGGTCAATCCGAAGGTGTAGATCCGTGGATCGGGCAGGGCCGGGTCAATCCGAAGGTGTAGATCCGTGGATCGAGCAGGGTCGATCCACGGAATCCGAAGGTGTAAATCCGTGGATCAACAGGGCCGATCCGATGGTGTAAATCCGTAGATCGAGCAGGGTCGATCCGAATGCCGATCCGAAGGTGTAGATCTGTGGATGGAGTAGGGTCAATCCGAAGGTGTAAATTCGTGGATCGAGCAGGGTCGATTCGAAGGTGTAAATCCGTGGATCGAGCAAGGCTGATCCAAAGGTATAGATCCGTGGATTGAGTAGGGTCAATCCAAAGGTGTAAATCCGTGGATCGAGCAAGGTCGATCCGAAGGTGTAAATCTGTAGATTGGGCAAGGCCGATCCGAAGGTGTAGATCCATGGATTGAGCAGGGTCAATCTGAAGGTGTAAATCCCTGGATCGAGCAGGGTCGATCCGAAGGTGTAAATCCATAGATTGAGCAAGGTCAATCCGAAGGCGTAAATTCGTGGATCGAGCAGGGTCGATCTGAAGGTGTAAATCTGTGGATCGGGCAGGGAAGATCCGAAGTGGAGATCCGTGGATCGAGCAGGGTTGATCCGAAGGTGTAAATCCGTGGATTGGGCAGGGCCAATCCGAAGGTGTAGATCCATAGATTGACGAAGGTGTAACTCTGTGGATTGAGCAGGGTCAATCTGAAGGTGTAAATCCATGGATCAGGCAGGGTCGATCCGAAGGTGTAAATCTGTGGATCGGGTAAGGCCGATTCGAAGGTGTAAATCTGTAGATCAGGCATGGCCGATCCGATGGTATAAATCCGTGAATCGGGCAGGGCTGATCCGATGGTGTATGCCAAGTGGAGTTTTTATGGAGCTTGCAGTCGAGTCGACGTGATCGACTTGTAGTTGAAACCTTTGAGGGTTTTGTGGCCTAGTCGGCGTGACCGACTTTGTAGTTGAAAACATTCGATTGAAGTTGGAGCAGTGACATGCATGTTTTAAGTAAATAGTCGAATTGAGAGTTAATATGCATGTGTTATGGACTGAATAAAGAGTGAGCTAAATGGAAAAATGGGCTGCATGTATTTAAGTAATGGGCTGAATAGAGAAAGATTTAACCAAATAGAGTGGTAGTTAAAAGGAGAAAATGACACATACCTTTTCCCTTCAAGTGCTGCCACCCATGCTTGCTGGACCTAGTGGAGAGAGGGGTGTTACTTTCTATGTCAGAGTTGAACCAGTTGAAGTTGAGTGGGCACGTGATTCACTTTTGGGCTAATCCGAATAGGCACGTTGATATTGTATGTGCAAACCCAAATATCATTGAGTGGACTACTTATGTTGTTTAGTGGTGATGAGTTGTAGTGGGGAGTGGAAAGTTTGCAAATAGCGGGGAGCGTGAGGGCTTTTGTGACAGGTGTGCTGGAGATTGTGATGTGAAGGTGGTTTGAGTTGATATGCATTGGTTGGGAAGGGGCGATGGTTCGAGTTTGGAGTTTTGGAATACGGTGGGGTACGGAGATTAGGCGAGAGTGGGGTGGCGTCACTTAAGTAGGTTTTGTTTGGGGAGTTTCTTTTCGTGTTTAGTAGATGACTTTAGGTGTTTTGAGAGGATTACTGCTGTGTTTTTAGGATTTTACTGTGTGATTGGAGAAGCT